CCCCCAAAAAAAAAAAACCAAAAAAAAACCGTACATCTCTTATAATAGTTAAACAAATCACCTAAACGTCATGTTAGTGTAGCCTATGTAATGTGTAAAGTTTAGTATACTCTTATCCCTTACAGTGAAGGCACATGGTAAGACACACATTAGGCATATGTGTCTCTTTGAATACAACAAGGGAAACAATGCCTCTGTAGCCACAAAGAATGTCAAAGAAGTTTATGGAAATGTTTTGAACATTTGTAAGTGTCAACGATGGTTCAGCCTTAAAAACTGTGAGGGCAGGGGCTGACATTTTGGAACTGTATTGATGCTCTGAAGACACTTGTTGAGTGTAACCCATGATAACAAACTCATGAATTGGCCCTGAAACTGCATGTCTCTCATGAAACAATACGTAAACATCTAAGAAATATTTGAAAACTCCATAAAGAAGATGTTTGGTTCCTCACGGAATCTCCGATGATCATCGTTTCCAACGTGTAAACTTTGCTTTGTCTCTTCTGGTGTGTAATGCACTTGAACCATTTTTGGACAGAATTGTCACCTGTGATCGAAAATGGATTCTTGATGCAAATATTAAATGCCAAAAACAAATAATTACAAAGTATTAGGCCATCAAGAAATTAATGTCGCGTTTTGGAACACTTCCGTTATCCACCCCTCAAAAATGTACATGACGTATAATAGTTAAACTAACCTCTTATATTGTAGCCTATATAATGTGTAAAGTTTAGTATGGATTATCTATGCAAATATTAAATGCCAAAAACAATGGCTCAGTCCTAGAAAAAACCACTTCCAACCCCAAAAACCTGGATTCCATCCGCAGAAAGCGATTCTTTGCATTTGGTGGGACATCAGAGGAGTAATTCATTTCGAACTCCTCAATCCACAGCGAACTGTCAATGCAGAGATCTATAGTCAGCAATTGGAACGTTTAAATCAAACCCTTCATCAGAAATGCCCTTCACTCATCAATCGGACAGGTGTTCTTCTTCTCCACAACAATGCACATCCACATGTGGCATGTTTGACGCAACACAAGGTTATAGAGTTGGGTTGGGAAGTTCTCCCCCACCTACCATTATCTCCAGATATGGCACCATTAGATTACCGTCTTTTTTGTTCGCTGCAACACCATCTTAATGGGAAAACGTATGCAATTGTGGAAGGT